TAATAATTTCAATAAAGTCTTAACAACAAAATATAAACTCTATGAAAAAAAAATAATAATAATTGTTAACGGGTGAAACGGATGACCCGTTAGCTTAACGGGTCGGGTTGAACCCGACCCAAACCCAATAAACCCGACCCGTTTACAGGTCTATGGGCAACTGCCTAACTTACATGCATTATTATTATTTTTTTTTAACGCTAAAAAAATTACAATGAGTATTCTCGATGGATCCCAATTACAGACAAGCCAAACTTTAGCTTATACAAAATAAAAAAAAAAAGAAAATTATTAAACTAAATACAAGAGTGGTGGTAATACAAATGTCTAAGGAAGCTAATTCATCGGCAACTATATTTTCTTCGCTGTCAGATAGAGAGTAATGATATTTGATCTATTAAATACATGGATGGAGACAACATATGCCCATGGGGCAGCTCCCCCCAACTCCTAGCCTTTTGTGTTAGAAGTTCCTCCAACTAAAAATACAAATTACCCTCTCACGTTCTATAGTTTTTCTACCCTCTTATCGTTCTAGTCGTAACTTTTTTCATTAGCTAATAGTTTACAATTTTAGCGTTCTAAACATCAGTTACCTAAAATCATATAGTTGGACAATACGTTTGACAACATTATTTTGAAATTTCAATTTAATTTTGTCATTCAAAGTTGCCCCCACTTAAAAATATTCCTGACGTCCATGATTAAATACCATATATATTGGACAATTGATTAAATATTCCAAATTTCTAAGGCACATTGATCGCTTTTTAAGAACTTGTATAAAAAATTTAGGGTTCGTTTGATATTCTATTTAAGAATTGGACTAAAGATATTCATTTTTCTTAAAAACAAGGGTTTTAGCCACTTAATACTACAGTCTAGTAGTATTCATTTTCACTTGTAAGTGAAAAATTTTAGGTTCGATTATCGCTAAAGAGAACATTATGAATTAAATTAGATTGTTTCGGTGGATGATGACGATGACATTGACGGGAGGGAGGGAGGAAGAGAAGGCCACTGAGGGGGAGGAGAAATTTTTCAATCCCACATAAGCATTGATAGCTGGTGTACTCGAGCAATAAGAACTAGACACATGGCTTTTAATTTTTTTTCTTTAAATACATTTTGAACACATAATCCAAAACCAAGAAAACTTCCGTCAACGTTAAGCATTCACCGCCTCTTTCCTTTCCACCGTAGATTGGCATCATCAAACCCACCCCAAATCCCGACGACATAACCGAAATATAAAGCCTCGCCGGCTTCCTTCTCTTCAGCTGCATCACCGGACACCCTGGACCCGAACGCGACAACCCACTCGGCAGCTCCGGTATCTGAATCAGAGGTTAAACTGCCACCGACAATGAATACCCGTCCATCCTTGCTCCGATGGCTTTCCACTGCCCTTTTATGGTGACACCAATCAGTTGAGAAATTAAAGGAAAAAATTGCATTTTCTTAAAAAATCACTGCAATCTGCCGCCATGTATTCCTCTTAAAACCCAAAACATTCATACTATGCATGGATTCATGAATTTTTTAAATTGTGAAAAACCCAAAAAAGAGAAGAAAAAAAATTAGAATTACTCAAAAGAAATTAAAAAATTCGAGCAAAAAGCTAAAGGGAATTGAGAAGATCTATGCAGAGGCCATGACGGCCGTTATCTTCTCAGTTATTGAGCCCAGTGTTTTGGAAGTCACAGAAATTGTTTTAATTGAAAAATAAAGCAGGCCACGTGCCTGCCTGTAATTGGCTCGGTACTCCACATCAGGTTGGGTATCCGGTATCCTGAAAAATTTCGTCACTGAAAGATGGTCAGATGGGTCGCTGGCTTTTTATTAAAACTGACTTTTGTGTAACTTCGGCTTTTTGGTAGGCGCATGCATGGGCCTATAGTTTTACGTGCAAAACTGATAAAAAGTAATTTAGGGATCGTTTGATAATAATTTCGTTGTTAGTTGTTAAGTTATGTTAAAATTAAATATTATAATGTTTGAATGAAAAATTCATGTTAAATTTTGTAAGGTTCTATAGTTTGACATGCAAAACTGATGTTGGTTATGCGAATGAAATTTTGTAGTTGAAAGCAAACGGTCATATGCTTCTAATTTGATTAAGGGTTACAAGTTTAGAAGGCATAACCATTACCTAACTGTTGTCTTAAAGAGTAACTTTTTGGGAGTGTAAATATCAATGTTCTAAAAATCGGCCTAAGCGGTGAATGCCCGCCTCGATTTTGGGCAAATCGTTTCGAAAAATCGGTTTGGAGTTAGGCGGCCATCTAGGCGGGCTAGGTGGTCCTAGGTGGAGAGCTAGGTGGCACCTAAGCGGCCCTAGACGGTCTTAGGCTGTTTTTTATATATATATTTTTTTATTAATTATGTGCTTTTTTCCTTTTTTGATTTCATGGTTGTAGCCTTATGGAAATGATGTACCTAATTTGCAAATTATGGATTTATTACAAGTTCATTCAATAGTGCAATGAATTGGAGCATTTTGAGGGGATGCATACAAAGAAAAGAAATAAGCTAGACACAACAAGGTTAAATAATTTAGTCTATGTCCAATCCAATGCAAGGATCATGATTCATGAACAAGAAGAATTTAGTCTATCATCCAAATCCTTCTCATTATGATTATAAGCTTACTGTTTTTTAAATATTGAAATTTTTGGATGTATATAATTTGTGTATTTTTCTACTTCTATTTTTTCATTTTATCATTCTATCATTCTTTTATTATCTATACAGGTATAGTTTTTTTTTAGGTGTAAATAGACACTTATTTACAAGATATATAATAATTTTACATAAATCCGCCTAGCCGTCTAGGCAATAGGCCCCTGCCCCCCGCCCGACTAGAGCCTAGCGATTTTTAGAACATTGGTAAATATATAAATAGTTCACTAGAATATGAAGATTACGGTTGTATTCTAGATACGGCCGCCTACCAATGTGCAAGTACAAGAGTGGAACATTGCATTCATGCAAATCTCACTAGCCAAGTTTGTCAATTTCTACAACTTCACTCAATATTTTTGTTGTTGATGTTCTATATACATTTGTCGTTATAAAATATTTTCCTTATTTTAATATTTAATTGTTTGATATAAATTATCTATTTCAAGTTTGTTATAATAAACACAAGTGTTGTTGTTGTTCTTCAATTTATATATTTTTCATGTGTTATAATATCGCTCCAACAATCTAAAGACTGAATTTTTGGACAATCAGAAAGTATGATTGTAATGTTGATCCTAAGCCCTTTCTTAATGAAAAAGCAAATGCGCATAGAATTGATAAGTGAGGCATTAATCCTTCCCATCTTTATGCAAATATTTGGATTTGAGTGTTGAGGTGGATGATGCGTTGTGTGGTGGTGCATATTTAGCATACAATACAAAACAAGTTATGGAATCTCATGCCATCTTTTTGTTACAATTTTTTACTAAGAAACAGAATCAATCTAAAAGGTACGAAGCCCTTAAATTGTATGAGAAATGGACAAGTGCTTAGTGTTATACAGATGCGTGTGCAATTTTTCAAGGCATTTATCTTCCATGGATGCGTCTCGTGGTCTCAGATATGTTTTAGTGTACCGTTCGATTTTGAAAGTTAAAAATACATTGTTGCCTCATTCACTTTTGGAATTGCACGGTGAGTAAATTAGTCTTTCATAAGAGCAACTCCACCCCTCCCAATTACAACGGAGATTGGGTGATTCAATCCACCAAAACCAACAAAATGAGCTCCACCCCTGCCCAAATAAGTCATACTACAGTAAAAAGGAGGCCCGACGGCTCACTTGGGCCAAAATTGTCCAACCCAGCACCTGGGGGACTGTGACGTTAAGGTGACGTCACAGTGAAGTCACCCGCGTTATTATTATTTTTTTGTGCCAGGTGTGTAAGTGCGAGTGGATCCTTTCGATTTGCATAGGATTTCTACCTAACGGTCCAAATATTTTCAACAAAAAAATGTAAAAAGATGGACATACTTATTATCTGTTGTGGCCTACGTGGCATAGTATGGGCTGTTGGATTACAAAAAAATATAATCCAACGGTTCATATTAGTTAGGTAAGAAGTAAATATTAAAAATTTATAAAAAATTAGAAATTATTATCCAATAGACCGCAGAGTAATTGTCTTAACCTACTCCAACTCTTGGAGTAAAACTCAAAATTTAGATTCTAAACTTACTCCAACTTGCACCAACCCTTGGGGCAAATATGAGTTTTAACACAAAACTCATTTCTGAGGTAAATTTAACTCAGAATTCCCCCCAGTTTAGTGGGGCTGGTCCACCATATATTTATGTTTTTTTAGTTTTATATTTATAAGTTCATAAAATCTAATGGCTAAGATTTAATATGATCAAATCCAATAGCAAAAAAAAAAAAAAAGATCCAACGGTCCAAATTAAATCTAACGGCTAAAGTAATGAAAAAAAAGTTATTAAAGTAATTAAAACAAATTATTTTATGCGTTTCATATTATTTCATAACGTTCTACGAGTTTCATGGTGTCAGTTTAATAACTTTTCTATATTCACTGAAATCTAAATCTTTTTAGGTTAAAATATTTATAAAATTAAATTAGAATAGTCTACATAAATTTTGTACATAAAATTAAATTAGGATAGTTTACATAATTTTTTTTAAAAAGTTACTTTAAGAAAAAAAGTTATCCTAAATTCATTCTTTAATAATCTCGAGCTAAACATTTAACTTAAAAGAGTTGGAGGAGAAAAACTATTTATGGGTTAAAACCTAAATATTTTGAGTTAAAAATTTTAGGTTTTAAGTCAAGAGTTGGAGATGGTAGGTGAATTTTTTATAAATATGTGATCGTATATCCATTATTTTTTTTTAACAAACGATATTATCCACACTAAAAAGAAGTGAGCTCAGTCTCACAATGTGCTAGTAATAATATTGTTCCAACTTGCATTAAAAAAAAAAGAAAAAAAAAAGGAAATACTATCCAAATTATGATCTCTCAAGCGAAGATACAGTTGCCAGAAATGATGTTAATGGATTCCTGCCTGCTCCGAAACTCACACCAATTTACATTCGGATCCATATCCATACCCGTAAGGGCCATACCCATACTCGACCTCCTCAACCAAACCCAGAAATGCCGCCAATCCCATTCTCTCTCTTCACTCTCTGTCTCCCTCCCAACAAGTTCTCGGAAGCTCCTCTTCGCGCGGAGAAGTAGCAGTAGCAACGGACCCCAAACCGACGTCGCTTTCGACGAGGCAGCTTACGAGGCCGAGCGGCTCAGCCTCGACGCCAAGGCTCGGGAACAAATGGCCGAGACTTCGAAGATTGAGACCGAGCAGAGTGGAGTTGCCGAAGACCCGAAAGCTTGGAAATGGGTTATCCGGAAGAGAATTTGGGACATGATGGAGGCCCGGAACATAGCCCAGAACCCCCGCCCCGTTCACCACCGCATTCCAAACTTCGTCGGCGCTTCTGCGGCTGCCGATAAAGTAAGAGAGCAATTTAAAAATTAATTCTTTTTGGGTTGTTTGTGTAGAGAAATTTACAGAGAATTTGTATTTTGATTCTGTGGGTTTGGACAGTTGGGTGGGTTGGAAGCGTTCCGGGTCGGGGATTGCGTGAAGGTAAACCCGGATTCACCACAGAAGCAAGTCAGGTTTCTCACTCTTTCTGGTCAGTTTTTGGTGTTTACGGTACTACTTATTGATTGTTTATCATCCAATTTGATGTGGTTAATATGATGATTGCATATCATCTCTTTTCAGCATATAAAGTGGTTTAAAGAGCATACTGGGCTCGTTCGTGTCCCCTTCCCGTAGTTTTGAGTAGATTAAAATACTGCACGAATTAAAAATAATGTATACAATAAAAGAAGGAAACTGGTTTCCTCTCACCTTTTCTCGTATTTATGTCCCTTGATTCTCGTTTGACTTGTTTCATCGAGAGGCTAGAAATAGAAAGTGGTGTGCAGGAGGAGAAAAGAGTGCGGCAGTCACTTCCCTAAAAGAATGTTCTCTTGCGTAAGGGTCACGGACACAGTGAAACATGATGGAAATCGGAAGATTGTATCAATGTGCACCAGGAACCAGTAATGGCTACTGCTCACTTCTAAAATCCCATTGTAAGACCCTTCATCTTGTGCAGGTGAGAAGAAGTTGTTAACTCCTCAACCGCGTTTAAGGACTGGGTTTTTCTCTGTGCTTGAACCTTATTTGTTAAGTCCTAGTACCATCAAAGAGGCTTGTACGTCTGTCGGAGCTGCCAAGTATGGGAGGCCAATTGGATTAGATGAGAAAATCAAGGTTGATCTTATTGTCATTGGCTCGGTTGCTGTTGATCCAAGGACAGGTGCTCGACTTGGCAAGGGTGAGGTAATCATTGGGCATTTTTGTTGTCCTTGTCATACTAAGAGTATTTTGGTTCAGTGTAACAAACCAAATTTGAGTTCTAGGCAAAAGTTTGGTTAGTATTGAATGCAAGCAACTCCTTTTCTGGAGTATTGATAGGAGAAGGTTTTATATTTGAAGTTTCAGCCTGGTCAATCTGAATTTGTCTTGGGTAATGCCATGAAATCGAGTCTTTGACATACTGTAGGAGCTGGGAGTATTTTTTTGAATTCTTTTGCTTTGATGTATCAGGGGTTTGCTGAACTTGAGTACGGGATGCTGCGATTCATGGGAGCCATTGATGACTCAACACCAGTTGTGACAACTGGTAAGTGAGTTGTCTTTGCTGCTAACCCTCCCGTTTCTTCTGCATGGTATCGTGCATATTCAAGAAGATTAAATTTGTCTCTGCTTGCATGCCTATTCCATCGTTCTTTTGATCAAGAGGCATGAAAGGTTTGCATATGAATATGACTGTTGTTTGAACATTTGTGATTCTCGTCTGTCTCTAAGACATTGCTCGGGTATATTGTTTCCATTCACTGAACAACTGTAAACCAGTTTGCACAACTTTGGTTAACTTTTGTGTTTGCATTAGATGTAACATGTGAAATTTCTTGCAGTGCACGACAGTCAATTGGTAGATGATATTCCGACTGAAAAGCTATTAATCCACGATGTACCCGTTGACATCATCTGCACTCCAACACAGGTCATTTTTACAAACACATCAATTCCAAAGCCTCAAGGTTGGTGAACTTGTGCAATATGCTTCACTTCTTTTTTATATTCGTGGGAAATTAATTTCCTGGACATATGATGGAATCGGCTTGTTATACTACCATATGCCCATTTTGCAGTACTGTATCATATTTTTTATACCAATATTGCTTGGGTTATAGGGATTTACTGGGACAAATTGTCTCCTGAGAAGCTGGGGCAAATTAGAATACTTAGAGAGCTCAAGAGAAGGATCGAACGGGAGACTGGACAAAAGCTTCCGTGTGGCCCATCTGAGAAGCTGCCTCCCACAGCTCGACGAGGGAGATAAACTTGTGGGATCTATAAAAATATAAAACCGTGTACCAAGAAAGACGGAAGAAACACAAAAAATTGGAATTTATAGTGTAATATAAGACGTGGCTAGTAGTCACCTTGTTTTTACTTTTATTTTACCGAAGTTTTTAGGGCCATGTTGTTCGATCTTGCTTGAGTTTTAATGTATCGTTGGATGTATAGATGATTTATGTGTATTGTATTAAAATAGGTTCAATTCTCTCGTTTTACATGTTTTTTTTTTTAACAAACGATATTATCTATGGATGGAGGGGTGGGTTAAGCCTCACAATGGATTGGCAATAATGTGATACAAATTCGCTTTTGACGAGAATTGAATCTCTTACTTACCGTAGTATTAAGTGGTTGTTTTACATATTATTTTGAATTCTAAAATATATGACTCTACAAACTCTCTACTTATTTCAACTGCTTGGTATAAATCATAATTTGTCTTTCTTTAACATTAAAAATCATTTTCGCTTCTTTCACTTCTTTTCTTTTTGTTGTGTATTGTAATCACACATGAAGTGCTCTTTATATAGAGCCACATCTGTGACAAACCAAAAAGTGAAATGATTGTCCCTTTTGAAAACATCACATAACAACAATTACACTACTATTGTGTTCTTTTGAAAGCATCACATTACAACAATTACATCACTGTTCTCAAGTCTTCCTCACTTAAAACATGTGGGCATTCATTCTCACAATTTTAAAACATTATATACATATATTGTTATAGAATTCCTTTTGATTGACAAAAACACAAAAGAAACCCATGTTGTAGGGGGAAGGCAGCATTTTATACCAAAAACTTCCAATTATTTTCTTTCCTGAACAACTTAATAAAAAGTATGCAACAAATTAAGTGGTGGCGTTTTACACACTTTCAACTGAGCCATCTTCAACGACATGATCGACCCAAAAAAACAACATAAACATAACTCTGTTTAGCTACACAAAAACTAAAAAGATATCAGAGGAAAAGACAAAAACGCTAGAGGAAGGGATTGAACCTTCGACCTTGTGGTTAACAGCCACACGCTCTAACCAGCTGAGCTACTCCAGCTTGTTGGGAACAGCATACAAAATTAAATTTTTTGTAATTTATAAATATATTTCTTTGTATGCATCAAGAGAGATTTTAGGAATTTATAATTGGGGTGTGCTATCCACACCTCTTTTTACTTCTCCCACACCCCTTGTTAATTTCTGTCATTTGATCTTCTTCAATTCATCCAAACCGACGACTGAAAATTAAAAGAGTGTGAAAGAAGTAAAAAATGATGTGTGGATATCACATCCCTTTATAATTACAGATCCTTGTGGAGTTCACGTTTTTATTACAGGTCCTTTACAAGTTACAAGTTACAACAGCAATGTCATTGTCTGTCCTTCCCATAAGATAGATAATTCAAGGAAAATAATTTTCCACACCAGTTTTACTTTTTATCCTTCTGCGTAGGCTTGCTCATCAATATTCATTGATTTTCTTTGATTTATTTAATGAAACGGTTAGAAATCATTAGCCTATAAATCTCTTTCGGGATTAAATACTTTTCTCTATACATGCAAGTATACTACCCCTTACAACAAATCGTAATTCTACGCTTGTATATAATATTTTATTTTACACATCCTAAATTAAAATAATAATAAAAAATGTTAAAAAAATTATATTTTATGCTTGTCCCGAGTCAATTTTTTTTATATGCGAAATTATGATTTGCAATTACGGAGAAAAGACTACATATCAATGTGACACCAATTCACAGCGCAAAGACACTGGAAAAGTTAATGCATGTCCGTTGATTCTCTTTTGATTTATTCAATCAAACCGGCTAGGAATAGACAGAGATGTGCAGCGGGAGAAAGACGGGGGCGTTGAAAATCCTTTCCCCGAAACCATCATACCAGCATTTCTGTATTCCATTTCAACGGCGCAAGGCAAAGTAAAAGCATACTGAATTTACATCGTACGAGTGAAAAATACTACGTAACATACAACATCGCGTAACCTACACCTACAACGCATAGGATCGCGAATACGAAATACAAACCGAAACCCTAGCCATGAATCCATGAACAAAAAATAAAGCTCCTCGCATGTTTTCTCATGTCTAGCTGTGTTTTGAGAGCAAGCAGAGCAGTTATCTTATCACGTACAACACCGGCGGTCCGTATAAGAAACACATCATGTTGCGTACAACTGAACCTGTCCTAAATTACGTATGACTTGATTCTAAAGGGACACCATTCTGTTCAGTGGAATCCTGTCGCTTTGACGAGGAATCCTTTCGATTGGAGAAATCACTTGCGGCATCGTCATACCAACTGAGATTATGATCTCTGCATTTCAGGGGAGAAACAATTGTCAAACCGTTATGCAATAATAGTACTACTCGAACATCTCTGAAAAACTAGGAAAGAAAATTATGCTAATTGTCACAAGATCATCCATGGTTGAATTTAAATCCTCCTTCCAAGTCAAACGACTTCTCTTTTCGGACAGAAGTAGTGAGAAGTCAGAAAATGCAAAAGAAGTACACTTAGTCGAATGAATATAACAATCAAGTTGCGAGAGAAAGCATACCCCAGCATAAAGGGATCAGTGTGAAAAATATCAAATCCTGTTCGAATACAAATCCATCTTTAACATAGAACAAAAATACTCGAAACTGAATTTTCTCCACTGAATTCAAATCGGATACAGAACCAATAATACAATTAAGATTTGTTTTTGTCTGGCTTAGGATAACTTTAACTGATTTATTTTTCATTTTACATCTAACTCTTAAAATCCTTGAACAACAAACAAATTGTTTGAGAAAGCCATCAAGGAACCTCGTCTGGCTTTTGATGAACAACCCAGTAAAAAATTTGAAACCATTTGGACCAAACTTCTTACGATATGTTGTCAAGCCAAACTATTTTCTCAAGATATTTGCTGCCACAATGGAAATCTCTCTCACTTATGAGATAGGCAGTAAATCTATATGTGTTTTTCATTAACTTGTAGATCTTTGTTCATATGGTTTTAAACAGTTAGGAGGACAACCCATTGTATACATGTTAATCACTCGCTGAATGGTAATATTATCCCCACCAAGATCAAGAATTTAATTTGAACGGGAATTTCAACCAGTTTGTTATTGGAATGTTTCTGAAATTAAAGCACGTCTGCTAAACCTATAAGACACTGTAAATTACCAATCCATCTTTGTTCCATATCAAACATCGGCTTTCCTGGTTATAATGTATGCGTATCCTTTCTTCTATGAATAAGTAACTTTTAGAAAAAACACAAGGCAAAATGCACAGTATGCAGAGCTATCATGTCCATGTATGATATAGACCATATGATGCATGACTGCACGTCAACGAAAGAGGAAACAAACCTATGCCTTCCCGAACTGACAAATTTGGTCGTATGATCTCTTCAGAATTGACAAGAAAAATATCGCCAATGTATAGATGGTTTGTTGGGACATAAACACTACACAACTCCTCATCTCCATCATCCCTCTGTAATCAACCACAAAACAATCAGATCCTAACTCATGGTTTTTATGAGAAAATCCAAAATAAACTACAACCAGATGTAACTAGTAGAATATTAATATCTTCCATAGCAAACCATCACAAAACAACCATTTTGTTTCTTTCATTTACAGCTTATTTTGCATATAAAAGTTGTAGATGACATTTCAATAGTCTTATTTTTTTCTTGCCTTTTAGAAGGCTGTTGTGATATAGCTGTGAACATTATTCAAATATATTTCTTCAAAATTTAATGGATTGCTTTGCGGATTGCATGTACAAATTGGTGATATCCATAGTATTTTTGTACTACAAGTGTTATAATATTAGAGCTGCCTATAAATATGAACAATTCTTCTTTACATTTAATAAACTTAAGTATCTCTCGCTTGAACTGTGCTTGCAAAAAATAATACTGCCAGAGAAACCACTTCTGTACTTCCTAGGAGGTGCCAAAACTAGCCCTTTCTTTTTCAACAAAAGAAAAGCAAACAAAAAACCCTTTTTTCTCAGATATAAAAAACTGCTTTTTGAGGGAATCAAATAGCTGTCAGACAGCTATTCCTCTCCATTGCATTAATAACCAACATAATCCATCACCTGCTTCTAAAAGTAAGCAGAAAAAAGTTCTGCGGTTGGACCAAAACAATCTTAACATACAACTAAACTTACTTCTTCCAAATACACACCAAACTGTTGACAAATAGAAATTCAAACCATGTTGTGGTGGCTGTACACGAAGTTCTAATATCATGTAGAAGGTAGATCTATTAATTGGACAGTCCAACATACCTGAAGTGTTACAGATGATGTGATAAAACCAAATGCATATTCACCAACTCGAGGATGACGAATAATTGCAACCTCTTTAAAAGCAGTGGTATTTTGATCTGTCAAATAGAAAGAAAGAAATCATTTATGAATATACCAAAGAGGAGAAAAAGAAAAATACGCACTGAATGGATTCCATGTCAGAAATACGCTATTTCTACCATGCACCAAACCACACACTCACAAGGTAGATGGCATCACAAACTTTTACTAGCTCAGGAGAAATTAATTCAACCTACCAAATAATATGAAATAAAACCATATTTGTTTGGATTAGAAAGACCATTGCATGCGTACGCTCACCACTTATTCCTTACGATGGCAACAATGGGGGTCAATTCAACGGTTTATCTTAGATAGGGAACCATATGTGTCTCTCGTGTACCCAAGCAAGGGAACTTGTATCGCAAATTCACATCATTATTCAACTTAAGTTAAACAGTGTAATGAAAGCCAATAGCAGAGGTGAGAAAAACAATCAAGCAACAGAATTTACCAAGAGCCTATATGGCATGCTGAATGGCTTTAAAATCATGGCCACTTCAGATAGGTTGGTGAGCCTAATGTGAAACCTACCAATTTTTGGGCTTGGATCATTATTTCAACAAGCCTGAAGTTAACCTTGGCTTAGTTCATTTGTTGACCAACTCAGCTAACTCAAGTGAGGCCAACATGCTTGCAAGTGGATGAGCTCCGTTAGAAAAAGGAGAACATAAACCCTAAGGCTTCGTTTGGCACACCGTATAAGAGTATAAGACATTGGATAGTATTATGTAATACGAAACAAGTGTTTGGTGAGCTTTTGTACTAAACAAGCACTGGCTTATTAATCTGGCCCCACCTATTTTATCTCCCTTACACCCGCTTGTTTATCCTGTCTAAAACCTTGGTATTATTTAGTCGGGTTCACACTGACAAAAACGTGCTGGCTTTTCTCCAAGCCATCTCGCCATCTCCTTTGCACATTGCTAACTCTTTCTCAAGGTATTCTCTCTCCCTCTTTCTCCATCCCCACCTTCGATCAGCATCAAGCAGATTTCAAACGGAAAACCAGAGGTGGCAGATCGAACTCAAATCACATCGTTCCTGTTCTGGAGAGACATCATGTGGGTTTTTGGCTTAACTGTTCCTTGATTGTGTTGGTGTGTGGTGCTTAAACTCAAAACTGGGCGAGATTTCATCTGGGTTTTTTTATTTCAATGGATTAATAACTCAAATCTGGGGGAGATTTCATCTGGGTTTTTTTAATTCAATGGATTTGAAACTCAATTGGGTTTTTTATTTCATATGGGTTTTTGGCTGCACTGATTCCCCTGGAAAGCATGGAATTGATGATTTTTTTATTTGCATTTCCTCTTTTAATGAAAGAATTTGGAGGTTTGATTCTGGAAATTTGAAGGTTTTGATTGGTGTAAATTCATGCCACTTTGAGGAGAGTCTGCTTGAAGCTTCCATTAACAAGTGATTGTGAATTTTTATTTTGTTGGATTGTGAATTTTGTTTTGGTTGGAATACACATTTGTGTTTTTTTATTTTATTTGAATCATCAATCCAAAATTGTTATTAACTAGTACCAAACACCGTATAAATAATACAGTCATTAGTCCGATATTGCACCATACGCCCGATTAATTTAGTCAATACTATCCGATGACTATTTATCCTATCTGACTAAAATAGTTAGTACAGTCCAAGGTGCCAAACGAGGCCTAAGATAATTAGGACAGCCATGCAAGAGCTTAACAAGAACATTCAAGTATGGACTGAGAAATTGAAATAAAGGCAGTTACCTGGAGAGATTGCAGAACTAATCTGCTTAGAGGCCGAGTATATGTGCTTCATAAAGGGCATTCGTTTAATGAACCATTCTCCAATCCAGAAAACTGTTGCACCCATCCATGATGAGGCAAAAATACCAATCAAGACTATAAAAAGTAGGGATGTAACAAATCCTAGGCCTGCAACAATAAAAAGAAGTACTCAATACTGCATAAAAGGACATAGATAAAACAATTAACCACCCATGACGAAATTGATGTGACGAGGACATCAATGCTAAGTCATTTAAGATGTATCACCAAAAGAGATGCAGGAAGAGGCCTTAGAGCTCTACCTTTTTGTGGCTGGATTAGAGTTTTCTTCAGTTTCAAAATTTCAATGGACCTTGGAGTTACTCTCTAAGCCTTTTTTAGGTAGATTCTAGAAATTAATAAGTTAATGCATCTAGAGTTTTCTGGGAGTCGAAAAGTCTTTCGTCATAAGAGTTAGCTGGACTATAAATATATGTAAATGCTTTTAGGCAAAGTAATGAAGTTTATGAATAAAAATCAGCTTTCAGAAAAATATTCTGATCTATCTTTCTGCGAAGGGAATTTGGTGTGAAGCCCTGGAGCGAATCCAGTTTCTTCTCTTCTTCTAAAGAGCTTCTATTCCCTCTTTCTTACCCTTCTCATCTTCTACCAGCATATAATCACAACTCAAACCAGCCCTAAACTAGAGGGATCGACACGGACATAGAAAGTTAGAAACTACTTAGTTTCTGAAATTTTCGAAGGAACATACTGTGGGTATCAAAATTTGCTTGTTTCATGCTAGTTTCCTACTTTTAATTTCCGGGTGTTGTGGGTGTTTGTAGTTTCTTTTGAGTTTTCATTGTAGAATCAATTTTACTATTAATCTTGGCCCTAAATACTATCATGCTGCATCATGACGAACATTTAATCTATTATCCAGCAAAACTTAGCATGAACTTAAGATACGATTCTGTTTAGACCAAAAAGTTAAAGATGGTCCAAGGTATGGAAATTTTCCGTACATGATGAAGTAATAATCTATGCTTCGCCACCACTAAAAAGTGTTACACCAATACCAAATTTGGATAGTTACTGCAACTTGAACTATTTGGAAACTTCCACAAAACCTATTCAAGTCAAATCCCTATGGTATTACAGTATTACTAGAATTTTCCCCAATTTTTTTGGTCAAAATTATTACTAGTATTTTAAAACATGCAGAAACATATTCAAGTAAGAACTAAGAAGTCACAAAATACTTCAAGTATCCAAACCTCTATAGCATTTATTTTATAATTGGGTATTATAATGGTAATATAGCGATTATCATTATTAAGTTTTTCAGAACTATTCACAGAGATTCATACATCAAATTCTACTTGCTTAAGAATTAGTCATCGCTGTCCCAAAGTAAACAACAATTTCGTGATCTGGAGTCATACCAAATATGTTAACCCCGAGCCTGGCATATATTGGACTGAAGAAACCATCTACAAACTGAACAAACCACCAAGTGATGAAGAATGTAACTGCGACAGGAAAGAGAACCATACTGCAAATTCACAATTCAAAACTAATACGTTATAATCAAACAACATTTTTATAAAAGATTATACAATTGAAAAAAAAAAGAACCTTACCATCCGGTCATGAATTTCTTTGAGACCCAACTCTGAAGCACTGCATAGCATGCCTGATCAAATTCAAGGGTCAATGAAATACTGAGTGCACAAGTTGTTTGGTATACTTTATGCATTGAAAAACAACCAACAAAATAAATTTTTTTTTTAAAAAAAAAAAAATTATCCAGTAAAGATGACTTTAAATAGGACTAGATAGAGGAAAAGGACTAACATAACTTCCTGAAACCAGTTGGTACAAAATCTACTTCGGACCACTATCATAGACAATTATGCCCCTTTTGTTAACAGTTTTCTTAACCTTCTGATATAGTCTTTTTAGAGGTTATATAAATGCAAGCTGTTTCTAAGAAGGATAACATTTGCACAACAAATGGTACTTCAAACTTGGAACAAGTATGAAGAAATTAGCAACACTTGTTTATATTTCGAGTTGTTACTGCATATCCATTTCTCAAGGCTACCCAATTGTAGTTTATTCAAAGGCTCAAAATAAGATTTACCATTTTTTTCTTTACAATTGTATCAAATTCAAACTCGATACTTAGGGTGTAAGGTTGAATGCTATAAATCAACCGAGCTACAAGCCCCTAGCTTTACCATCAGAACAACCTATGTTTTAACCAGATTCCAGATCCCCTAATACAACATTTCTCTATCTCGAAAAGCTAATTAGGAAATAGTCGGCATTCAACAACTAAATTAAACCCACAAACAGTAAGGACAATTAAGAGATCATCAGGACCAAATCAAAGCTTATTAGTAAAGAAAACCGAGTTCCACTACTTCTACTACAAATTATACCTAATAAGCATTCAACTATTAATTATGGTTGTTTCAAATTCAAAATTAGGGTTTTATGCTCTAATCAAATCCCAAACTGCCACAGGAAAGAAAAGAAACTTGATTAAATTTCCAAATTGGGGAAGAGGTATTCTGAAGTGACCGGGAGAGTGACAGACGGACAGACAGACCTTGCGAGTTGAGGAGTTGGGGGAGCTTGGCGGAGACCTGGAAACATCTTCAGGGTCGGTTTGGGTCAGCGGACTCGACGACGTAGGCTCTTTAGCTTCCGCCATTTGGCTGCTTCTCCGTCGTTGTGTTACTTAACCAGAGCGGCGGAGACGGAAGACCGAAGAGGAAAAGCAGATGATTTCAGTTTGCCACGACTCGTAGGATTCCGACTCGGACTCAGACTCAGACTCTCTGCCTCTCTTCTGACTGTTGCTAACCTCTGTTTGGCTGCGCGGATAACTTTGTTTGGTTTAACTCTAGATCTACCTACCCAACTTCCAACACGACTTCAAATAAACGTCTTAATTATTTGTTTGGAATTGTTTTCATGAAAGACACTTCATTATTTATTTGCCTTGTGTGAACTCTATTTTAATGGGAACTTGGTGAGTAACACTGTTAGAATTTTTATCCAGAATAAAGAGTTTACAGGGGTAAAAGATCGATAGAAATTCTAACGAAGTTAGTCAAAATAATTATTGATACACATTTCATGGGTTATTAAGGGCATATGGTCGAAATATGATTTCCAAATTAAGTTTTGAATGTAAATGTTGTAAACGGGAGTGGCAATGCCATACACAAAAAGGACTGATCACCGACTTTGTAAAAAACCCGTCCATCGATAACATGCCACTACATTTTCCGAAGGTATTCATCCCAAATAAGCTCATGCATCATCACATGAACCTAACAGGGTAACAGGGACAGCCTGCTAGCAAGGAGAAACCATACAAGAGAATGCAACATTGCTATTGTTCTAGGTTGATAGTCCATTAATTCTTCAGGCCAAGCATTACATCGTGCACACAAGGAGAAAAAAAATTGATCACGGAAACCGTTTAACGAATAGCAATTTATATGCCATGGGCACACAAGGAAGGAGGAGAGTAGTGCAGTACAACTTGGTCGAACCGGGGCAACGTTCACGCTCAGCCTCGGTCGAGAAAACCCTATCCAAGAATAATTTATGATCAGCCGAGCTTGAACTCATTCAACAGAAATCATGCTATTGCTATTTACTAAAGACGCACAGGTAAACGATCACAGCCACACAATTGATGTAAGTTTGAGTAGTTTAGGTGGGGGTCCTTTAACCCCGTCATTAGGTTTTATTGGAGAGTATTAGAACATAAACTTCACAGGTGATCAGACTATGCAGTAATGGCAGAAAGAATACGGTAACTAAGCAGTTTGCATCAAAACAGACAGTGCAATAAGATATTCCTGTCCAGCCATCATTGATTTGGACATTTTGTACTTGGTAAATAACTGGCAACGGTCATAGAGTACAAGAGCCACTAATGTGGCTAGAACTTAGAACCACCTAAAAGAACCCATGAAGAGCTACTCGTTTGTAAACTCCTAACTTTATTAACTATCCCTAAGTCCTACATTGAAGATAGGCAAATCCAAATTTAACGTTATTCAAACTGCCCGAAATCATTTACTAACACAAGCTCTGTGATTGAACAAAACCACACAGCAAATGTGCTCAGCAGTCTACCTTAGAAAGGTACTGAAGTAAATGTCAATATGCACACTAGCATGTAAACATTAAAGACGGTAAAACTATTTTTCAGGAACGCCGGACGTAACTTACACAATGCAATTGCCAGAAAGCAATGGGAAAGGGAAAAGAACAAAGGATGGAGGAACCAATATGCAGGCCAATTTGGTTGAAAGCTTGAAATGACCGGAGCATGGAGTCCTTGTCACCGAGGAACTGCAGCATATGAAGCAAATAGGAAAATCAGCAGAAGAAGAAATTCTACCGACAAAGAGAAAAACAAATTGATTACTGGCGAGTAGGATATAACATGTTGAAGAAGAGCGTGTCTCAGAAGAGCCTGAATTTAATAAAGGAAAATGACAACAAACTGCGTCGTATTTCTGGTGCGGTGAAAATCAAAGCCAGTGTGGTTCTTTCATGGAACAAGACTTGCATCACCATACAGGTGACAGATGATTTGAGTACAATGAGAAGATGTTCACTTGAAGATGTCTAGCTTGCTTTATTATTTTTCTCTGTCTAAACCAAGGACTCAAACAGGAATATTTAAGCATATGCAAAGTTGCAAACTCGCAATAGAATATCCCATCTTTTCACGGCTTCTGCTACAAAGGTAAGTGGGTATTGGTAATGAGCAATAGAATGAACACAAAAAGTTAAGGCTGAAGAACGCTGTCACCTAAAATGGGCTTAAATTTCTCCATCCCTACCGACTCACAACCAGCCGTACACATTTATTTACGTATTATTCTCACTTTGATAACCATATATAGTAATGTGATTGCTCAAAATATCAATTATCTAATAAATTGATCATTAAAGAGTGATCTTGTCGTTTCATATTCACATTACAAAATATACATAATGGGCACTTATGGAAAAAATATAGATTAACACCACAGAGACTTGCAAAGAAAAATCAATGCATCCATGTGGATCATTTATACCACAATAAGAAACTGCAATTCCATGCACTACTCAAGTACTTTGAAAACAAAAGAGCAGAATAAGAACGATTCTCAAAGGCACCGCTGAACAATCTAACGGAAGTATAAGAGCAGCAACTAAATAGCTGAATTAACCAAGCTGGCGTAGCTCATACAGTGTCCAAAATGTCAAGACATGGCTCAAAAGGGAAACCCTATGCACCGTTTGCGTCACATAGCCAGCAGGCCTTGTCACAACGGTGATGCAAGACCTATACCATGAATCCAAATACAGAAACGAATCTAATCACAATAACAAAAGCAGATATTTGTCAAAATTGGGTTTCTTTCTGAAGCCACATAAATTGTCAAAATTGGCAGAGTTGGAGGGATTTGAGAAGACTGTACCTTGTAGCGCAAGGAACTGTTCTGGTGGCGGAAGCAAACGGGGACGCCATGGCTGCGGGGTTTAGGGAGTTAAGGGAGGTTAGGGTGAGGGCTCTTGCCATTAGAGCTGACCTGTAGAAGGAAGCCATTTCTCGTTCGGAGGATAATAACCCTACTCTTTTTTTAAGGCAAGCCACCATTTTCTCCTTTTTTTTAGTTTCGCAAAATCTCACTGCGCTATCCATTTTGCGCTGCTTATGTGCGCTTCATTTTAGCACCGTTGGATCAAGAGCTAGGCCAAAACCCTAGTCCTATTTTCTTCTGTTATTTCTCTTTGACTGCTGTTCATCACAAGCAGCGCGTTTTTTTTCCTTTCCATTGATATTAACAATGGCCGATGATCGAACTTCGAGCGAAAGCAAGCCTGATGCTTCCAATCCATTGTTCATTCATCATTCAGACCACCCAGCTATGGTGCTGGTCTCGAAACCCCTTAATGGGGACAACTATTCCACCTGGTCTCGAGCCATGAAGATTTCCTTGAGTGCTAAAAACAAGATTGTTTTTGTTGATGGCACTGTTCCACAACCGTCAGCAAAAACCCAGCCGAACGATCATGCTGCATGGAAGAGATGCAACGACATGATTGTTGCCTGGATCATCAACTCAATCGATTCAGATATTTCAGACAGCATTCTCTACATGACTAGCGCTCATGAGATTTGGGACGAATTGGAAGAGCGCTACTCCCAAAGCAATGCTCCTCGGATTTTTCAATTGCAGCGGGATATTTCGTGTCTTTCTCAAGATCAACTCTCTATTGCAGCCTATTATACCAAGTTGAAGAGTCTGTGGGACGAGTTGTCTTCTTACAGTGATTCATCTTCATGCACATGCGGTGCTCAAAATGAAAGGAACAGGTTGATGCAGTTTCTTATGGGACTCAATGATTCATATAGTGCTATTCGAGGACAAATCCTCTTGATGAATCCCTTGCCTACTGTACGTCAAGCTTACTCCTCAATATCACAAGAGGAGAAACAACGCTCTTTGAGCCTTTCTCGCACCACCACTGCAACAGCAGCCATGGCAGTTCGCCAGGGCCACCACTCCAAGTCCGCAGGTTCCTCCACTCGAAAACCCATGCATTGTACGCATTGCGATCAAGATTACCACACTATTGATACTTGCTACCAGTTGCATGGGTACCCACCTGGGCATCGTCTTCATAAGACCAACAAATCCAATCCACGTGGTGGGAATCGCTCCAAGCGAGACACTGGCTCTTCGTCAGCCAACATAGTTTCCTCAGAAGGACCTTCTATACAAGAAATGCAGTCCGTGATGTCAGGTTTATCAGATTCTCAGTTTCAGCAAATTCTCAGTATCATGAATGGGAAGGATGTATCCACTACCCCTCAAGCCAATGCTACCACCCTTACCAAAGGTTTGTCAAAAAATCCTTCGCATCTCCATCGATGGATCATCGATAGTGGTGCGACAGACCACATCACCTCTTCACCGAAACTGCTTACTAATGGTGTGAAAAATGATAATATGCTGCCAGTTTTATTGCCAAGTGGAGAGCAAGCACCTATTGCATTAACCGGAGATTTATCTTTGAATTCTAACTTCTTACTCCGAGATGTGTTGTGTGTGCCTACTTTTAATGTAGATTTGATGTCAGTGAGTCGAATTACTGGAGGATTAAATTGTTCCGTCACTTTTTTTTCCACTTGGTGTATTTTGCAGGATCTGACCACGAAGAGAACGATTGGTTTGGGTAAGCAGCGAGGAGGACTTTACTATTTGGTGGCGTTGGCTCCTGTCCAAGATGGCACTTCGAGACGTTTCTGTAACATGGTCCTATCACCTACAGAGTTGTGGCATCGTCGTTTAGGTCATTTGTCATCATCTAGATTAGATTTCATGTCCAAAACTATGTTACACTTTCCTTTCCAGTCAAATAATGCTTGTGATGTTTGTCCATTAGCCAAGCAAAGTCGTTTACCTTTTGGTGTTAGTACCATTGCAACCCAGAAACCCTTTGCTTTAATTCACTGTGATATTTGGGGTCCTTATAAAATTGCCTCCACTTGTGGCGCCAAATATTTTTTAACCATAGTCGATGATTATTCTCGTTTCACATGGATCTTTCTTATGCAACACAAAAATGAGACTCAACATCTCCTTAAGAATTTTTTCTCTTATGTTCGTACTCAATTTGATACACTTGTTTGTCAAATCCGTGTTGACAATGGAGGTGAATTTTTTTCCCTTCGTGATTTTTTCCAAGAACACGGTGTCGTATACCAACACTCTTGTGTTTATACGCCCCAACAAAATGGGGTTGTAGAACGCAAGCATCGTCACATTCTTGAGACAGCACGTAGTTTGCGTTTCCAAGCCCACCTACCACTTCGTTTTTGGGGTGAATGTGTGCTCACGGCCGTCCACCTTATTAATCGTCTTCCTACCAAAATTCTTTCCAACACTACACCTTTTGCACGTCTCTATTCCAAATCACCCACCTATTCCCACCTACGAGTCTTTGGATGTCTTGCCTATGCCACCAACACTCACGTTTCTCATAAGTTTGCTCCCCATGCCCATAAGTGTGTTTTTCTAGGATATCCTGTTGGTCAAAAAGCCTATAAGCTTTACGACCTCACCACCCATAAGTTTATTACCAGTCGTGATGTCATTTTCCACGAACATATTTTCCCTTACCAAAATCACTCCACCTCCGATGACCAACTTCCCCTTCCCGGACCTGTCTTACCTCAACCCCTTCCTGACTACACTGTTCTCTCTACAACTCCTTCCGCGTCCACCATTTCTCCCGTGTCACCTGTTGAGTCTTCTACTCGTCCACCTACAGAGTCCGATGCTCCAACTCTCTCAGTCCCTGCTACTGCCATAACAGCGCTCCCAGCGCCCGTACCCCCCGCACCTTCTGTGCCTGTGCTTCGTCGCTCTGACCGACGCTCTGCTCCTCCAACTCGCTTCAGTGATTATGTTTGCCCTACTTTGCCTTCTTCCCAACCAATCGATTCTTACTCTTCGTCGCCAGGTCCTACCACCGGTACCAGGTATCCTCTTGCTAATTTCCTCACTTATCATCGTTTCTCACCCCAACAACAATCTTTCCTTGCTTCTATTAGTCAGCAGGTTGAACCCCACACTTATGCTCAGGCTGCCCTTCATCCCCATTGGCAAGCTGCCATGGACTCTGAATTGCATGCTTTGGAGGACACTAATACTTGGACAGTCACTACTCTCCCTGCCGGGAAAACTCCCATTGGTTGTCGTTGGGTGTATAAGATCAAACATCGTTCTGATGGTTCTATTGAACGTTATAAAGCTCGCCTCGTCGCCAAGGGTTACACTCAACTTGAAGGTGTTGATTATCACGATACCTTCTCACCTACTGCTAAGATGGTTACTGTTCGTTGTTTATTAGCCCTAGCTGCTGCCCGTACTTGGTCTCTTCACCAACTTGATGTCCACAACGCTTTTCTTCATGGTGATCTCCATGAAGAACTCTATATGACCCTACCTCCTGGTCTTCGGCGACAGGGGGAGAATCTCGTGTGTCGCCTTAATAAATCCCTTTATGGCTTGAAGCAAGCTTCCCGGCAATGGTTTGCAAAGTTTTCAGAAGCAATTAAATCCGCTGGTTATATTCAATCAAAGGCAGATTATTCTTTATTTACGAGGCAGCAAGGGCAATCCTTTATAGCCCTTCTGATCTATGTTGACGATATCTTAATCACCGGCAATGATCCTGAAGGAATTAATGCTCTTAAAAGGTTTCTTCATGGTCACTTCAAAATCAAGGATCTTGGTAACTTAAAGTACTTTCTGGGAATAGAGGTTTCACAGTCAAAGAAAGGGATTTTTATTTCTCAGCGAAAATACGCTTTAGAAATTTTGAAAGATAGTGGTCTTTTGGGAGCTCGCCCAGTGGAGTTTCCTATGGAGCAGAATACTAAACTCTCTAACACTGGTGAGTTGCTTAAAGATCCGGCAAAGTATAGAAGGTTGGTTGGTCGATTGATCTATTTAACCATTACAAGGCCGGACATCACTTATCCCGTGCATGTGTTAAGTCGATTCATGCATGAACCACGACAACCGCACATGGAAGCAGCCCTCCGAATTCTGAAATACTTGAAGAGTACGCCTGGACAAGGTTTGTTTTTCTCTTCTCAAAACAACTTGAACTTAAGCGCATATTGCGATTCAGATTGGGCGGGATGTCCTACAACACGAAGGTCAACTACAGGTTATTGCGTCTTTTTGGGCTCTTCTTTGATCTCTTGGAGGTCAAAGAGACAAAAGACCATTTCTTTATCATCCGCAGAGGCCGAATATAGAGCCATGACTGGAACTTGTTGTGAACTGTCATGGCTTCGATATCTTCTAAGGGATTTAGGTTTGCTTCATCCAAAACCGGTCTTGCTGCATTGCGACAACAAAGCAGCGCTCCATATTGCTGCTAACCCAGTCTTTCATGAACGAACTAGACATATAGAGATTGATTGTCATTTTATTCGAGACAAGATACAAGATGGTTCAGTCATCACAAGGTACATTCCTTCTTCAAACCAGCTTGCAGATGTGTTCACAAAGGCATTAGGAAAGGAGGCTTTCTCATCCATCATATGCAAGTTGGGAGTACTCGATGTACACTCTCCAACTTGAGGGGGAGTGTTGAAAAGACAATAAAATATGTTAAAGGTTCTCTACTCCCACGCTGGACAGAAGGCATATGGACAGAAGGAATAAGATCATTCTTTCACAGCTAAGTTAGCATGTGTGTTGCACTATTAACGTGGACAGCAAGGCCACTGCATGTGGTTACTGACAGCTTCAACAAAAACAGCATGGGTGCCTCTTTCTTTCCTTTGTTTATTACATGCGTCTGTAATTATCTTGTATATATGTTCTGCTGCCATTACAGCAGTTGTAAGAATTCAAAATATATTTTTCACACGATTAGATTGAGATAAAAGGTTTCATCGTTGTAACATCAATTTCTGGATAAGGAGGGAGTTCTAGCCGGCGAGATGGAGTCGTTAGTCGTTACGTTAGTGGTAGGATAAATGATGTCAGGAAGTCGTTCTTCCCTTTTTGGTTCACCATTTATCGTAGTTTTCATGTTTGTTGGCTTTTGAAAGAAATTAACAGAATTAGGGTAATATAGAGCAAGTTT